ATATATATGTATATCTATGTATAGTGTCTATATGTAGATACAAACTTGCCATCAAGTAGATTTCAATTCATAGAGACCCCATGTGTTTCAAAATAGAACTGTACTCCATAGTGTTTTCAGTGGCTGATTTTTTGGAAGTAGATTGCCAGGTTTTCTTCTGAGGTGCCTCTGGGTGGACTTGAACCTCCAGTCTTTCCATTAACAGCTGATTGTGTTAACCATTTGCACCACCTAGGGACTCCATTTTACATAGAGTAAACACTAATTTTAAAGAGTTATTGGTATTGATCAAATGGGTTGATGTAGTGACTAAAGGCATTTTTGTTCTATTAGCTTTTCAGCCATTTCCTTCTACTTGGGAAAGCCATAGTAGAAGGTGGTTGATAAGTTGCTTAGGTAAAAGGACTCTACCCCCTGTGGTGGGAGGGCCTGAAAGGCAGGGAGTGACCCCGCTGAAAAAGTTCAGAATTTTTCCATGTAGTTTTCAGAACCCTTCCTGTGCCCCTTCTCCAGATGCAGCCAGTTTGCAGAGCCTGTGTAACAGTATGCCCTTCCCTTGGACTGTATCCAGATTCAGTTTCAGCCCTGCTGTAGCTTACCAAAGAGAGTTCTTGCTCTTTGAAAAGCTCCTTCAGAGTTAATTTTTGGTGGAACAGCTAAAGAACATCATGGCTTTAAGACATATACTTTTCAATAAACAAAGGGAATATAAATCACATTACACAGTGTCATCCCATTGTAGTTTGAAAGGATCCATTTATATATGCTCTCATAAACTTTCTTATGCAGCTTCCATATGGCTTTGTAGTAGTGCTTAAACCACACAGACAGAAAATTTGTTCAGATCTAAAAATAATTTTTCTCGTATGGCTTCAACAGCTGATAAAGTGGACCTGCTATAATTCTGAAGCAGTTTTTACAGATTTTTGGCCACTAGGTGGTGGCATTGGCAATCCATTGACAGTGGACTTTGCCTTCTTTATACATTTCTTTATTACTTGAAGCGTTTACAAATATGTAAACAATTTTAAAAAAATAAGAGAACTAAAAAAAAAACAAACCCGAAAACCTGAATTCATAAAAAATAAGTATAATAAACTAAAAACTAAAAAACATTTTAAGTGGTTGAAAATAACTTGAATTTTAGGACTGTTGGTAATAGGGTAGTTATAAAGTAGGCACTTTTCAAGTGCTATAAATACACTTTTTAATTGTAAAACCCTAAAAAATAGAATCCTGGTACCTCATTTTATGATGTTACCCACCCTTATGTGTGACATTCAGGATTAAATTGTTTAAAGAAGTCACTGGAGTACCTTAGGACATATTAAATAGTAATTACACGTTATCTAGTATTTGGTAAGGGGCCCTTGTGGTGCAACAGTTAAGCGCTCGGCTGCTAACAGAAAGATTGGTGGTTCAAACCCACCCAGCGGCTCCGTGGGAGAAAGACCTAGCGATCTGCAACCATAAAGCCAAGAAGACCCTATGGGGCAGTTCTTCTCTGTCACATGGGGTTGTTAGGAGTTGGAATCGACTTGACAGCACCCGACAATAACGAACGTATTCAGTACTCTTTTCTTCTGACTTGTTTCTTTAGGTTCCCAAAAAGATATGAGGACTTTAGATGCAAAATTTTCATACATCTCAAATCCATCAATAAAAACACAGAAATGCGGGGGGAAGTATAAACTTCAACCATACTTTTTAGTTAGGACACTTTATGGATCTAGAGTTATTTTTTGGTTTGAGTGTCAGAAACATTTTGTGTATAACTCGGTTTGCTCATAAAGTTGACCGTTTTGCTATGTACTAAGTAAAACTTGGCTATGTAGAATTCTCAAGGAATGAGTCACTTAGAAGAGCAAGTTTCTCAGATAACTAAGGATTTATTTCTTTAGGCACTAATTTTATTTAAATTTCAGTTGAAGTGTTCCTAAAATATTTACTTCTTGTCTTCCTAAATCGAGCCAGTAGAAAAGCGTTTGCCCGGTCTTGGTGACTTGAGGTTCTCGCTATATCAGGTCTTGTCCTCTTCTGCATGGCAGTGCCTTCAGAGCCTATCACAGTGTGGAATATTCTTTGCCCCCTGTATTGAATGACCCTGGACTGCTGTGCCTTTGAGTTCCTGTAAATGTTTTTTCACAGATTTGTTTTGTCTTCTCTTGGTGTCACTTCTTGTTGTCAGTGATATGCCTATGGCTAGCAATTCTTCTCATGCTTCTTTCTTGTTGCTTCTGATTAAATGATGATACTTATTTGGGTTGTGTGTGAAAGAAAAATTTACTGTCAATGAATTTCCTTTGAGTGATCTGTATGGGCCTTCGTACAGTAGTTCCTCCTTAACCACGGTTTCGCTTTCTGCGGTTTCAGTTACCCGCGGTCAATTGCAGTTTGATAATGTTAAATGATGAAAAGTCACACTGCCCCACACCATCATTCACATGACTTTTATTGCAGTATGTTGTTATAATTGTTCCATTTTATTATTAGTTATTGTTGTTAATCTCTTATTCTGCCTGATTTATAAATTAAACTTTATCATAGGTATGTATGTGTAGGACAAAACATAATATATATAGGGTTTGGTACTATCCGCAGTTTCAGGCATCCACAGGGGATCTTGAAACATACCTCCTATGGGTAAGGGGGGACTACTGTACGTGAATTTTGTAACTTTTGGATACTTAGAAGCCTTATAAAATATCTTGTTCTAGTATGTTTATCAAAATATTTATGTATTTAGAGAGGGTGAGTGGAATTTAAAAAATTGGGTGAAAGTTTTTTTTAGCCCCCTCTTTGGCCTTCTTGGGGCCCTGGTGGCACAGTGGTTAAGAGTTAGTCTGCTAACCAAAAGGTCAGTGGTTCAAATCCACCAGCTGCTCCTTGGAAGTCTTATGGGGCAGTTCTACTGTGTCCTGAAGGGTCACTATGAGTCGAAATCGACTCGACGGCAGTGGTTTTTTTGTTTTGCTTTGTTTTGTTTTGTTTTGTTTTGTTTTGTTTGGCCTTCTTAGCTCTAATTAGGAACCCCTTTTCTGTGGGATGGTGTAAGTAGCTGACTCTGGTAACCCATTTGAGGCAGCTGCTGAGGGTACTCCACCACTCCCTGCTGTTTACTTGCCTTTTTATCTTCGTACCTCTCTCCTCACTTTCTCTTTTTTGAACTTCGTTCTCACTGCTTTATTATTCTTCCTTTGTAATCTCTCTTTTGTACCTTTTGGTAACATTATGGACTTTGATAAGCCCTTCTAGCAGCATTAAAGCTTAAAAGGTTGATGACTTCTTTTGAAAGGTTTAGCATTAGTTGACCATTAAAAATAATTTCTACTAGTTGTGTGATTTTTTCCCTAATATACCATACAGTTATATTCATAAGGTTTACAGTGCTGTTTCTTGTAGCATTTGGCCAGTTTTAACTTTGGCAATTCTATTTAGCCGTTAAATTTTCTCCTCCCTCTCCCCCTCCCCCTCCCCACCCTCATTTCCTTTGGATTTTTCACTTCCTTTCTTTGTTTACTGCACTCATGCTCATAGTTGCCTACATTTCATGTGGAATAAATGATTCATGTCCATAATTCTTGGCTCCTAGGAGATAAAAATTTTATGCAGTAATGTTATTGATTATATTTCATTGGTTCTCTATAATGTACTCTGTGCAGCACCTCTAGGCACGGTTGCTCTCAGATTAAGTACATATTTGAGTACTTCTGAGACTCTTAACTTATATCTTGAATATTTAATCAGTCTATATTATAAGGCCTATTGTTGACTGAATACTCTGTGCTGTAGCCAGAATACTTGAATTCAACCTTTTTAGGAAGGTCGGGGCAAATTCGGGAGGCCCCTGGTAATTCACAAGGACATTTTACATTCCACCAGTGATAGGCAGAACTTGGCAGAGATTAGATGTGTATATATGAATTTATTGTATCGATTTCAAGGCCAAAGTTTTGCATTACAGTTGGAATCGACTCCACAGCACCTGGTATTCTGCCTTTGCAGTATATATTCACTTTGATCTATCTCCACCCTCACCCTGCAGCATTTACACTGAATGTATGTAACCTTTTGCCTACATCTGTAGTCAAAATGAACAAAGCATAACCTTGAAGTTACTGGGTTATTTCAGTCCTACTAGCAACAGCCTTTTGTGGTTCACTAATGGTAATAGTCTCAGAGTTTTGAGTGGAAGCGCAGCTTTTGGGCGCCTCAGTAATGGATGGATTTGCCGCTCATAATCTTTCTTCAGGCAGAGGAGGTCTGCATGCAGTGCACTGTGCCAGCAATTTAATGACATAGACTTCCTACAAATTATTTCTGCCTTTTTCACTTTCTGTTTATTTCTTCAGTCCCTATTTGACAACTTTAATTTTTCTTCTTTTTGGTGGTTCATTACAATTGAGGGTCTCATTCCAAAATAACAGAACTTCATATTGATCATTTTGTATTCCCTTAGCAATGTGGGCAACATCATTATGCATTAGACTTTGTACCTTAAGTGTGTGTATGTGTGTGTGTGTGTGTGTGTGACTGACTATACATCTTGCCGCCCTAGTTAAGGACCAAGAACCATGTCTCTCTCGCTGTGTCTTTTTTTTTTTTTTTTAATCACCACCAGTATATTAGAGAAGTGGCAAGAGAAAATACCAACCAGAGAGAGAGCCTGAAGATCTAGGTTACGGTCCTGGCTCTGCCACGGACTATCTGTGTGACTTTTGGCAAGTCACTAAGTCTCTCTGGGCTTCAATTTCCCTGTTTTTGAAATGAGGAGATTGGAGTAGTTAGTGCCTAAGTCTCCTCTTGATTTAAAATTCTGCGTGCTGATGTGCATAGTAAATATTCAGTTGATCTTTTAGTAGTCTTATATTTTGAGGGTTGATGAAGGGTTTGATATGGCATTCTCTTAGTGCCATTTTATTAGTATAATAAGGTAAGGTTTATGTTCTTGGAATTGTTTCTTATGCAAATATACTGAAAAGGGTACTTTTTCTTTCTAGGACAATGGCTTTGTGCACATTCATACCCCAATAATAACATCCAATGACTGTGAGGGGGCTGGAGAACTTTTTCAAGTTGAAGTAAGTTGTGGGTTCCCATCTTGGGGGACATGTTGCTGATTGACTTTTTTCCGTATGAGGGTTTACTTTAAGTTTAATAAGAGTTGTAAGGACAGAAGATCATGACCAGCACCTGAAATTTTGTTATTAGTAATCCTTGTTGTCATTGCTAGGTGCTGTTGAGTTGGCTCCCACTCATAGTGACCTCACGTACAACAGAGTGAAACACTGCCCAGTCCTACACCATCCTCCCAACTGTTGCTATGTTTGAGCCCATTGTTGCAGCCACTGTGTCTGTCAGTCCATCTTCTTGACGGTCTTCCTCTTTTTCGCTGAACCTCTGCTTTACGAAGCATGATGTCTTTCTCCAGGGATTGGTCCCTTCTGATAAAATATCCAAACTATATCTAGAAAATTCAAACTTTTCTGATTCTCTGTCCTACCAGCTATATTACTTAAACTGTGACCAAAAGGAGAGGATTTTTAACTTAGTACTCCATTTGCTTTTCTTATCGTGTGACTGTGAATTGGTGAACTAGAGAAATTGGAAGAGATTAATGAAGATCATAAGATATCTTCTGTGTAAGTTCAACTCCTAGTTAATATTTTTAGATGTAAGTTATATTTTAAAAGATAAAAATAGAAAAGTATGTATGTGAATATTATTTTCTTTTTTAAAGTCTTTCTCGTAAGAAATGTTTTATGTTCTATACAACTCATGAAGTCTCTTAGTTTAATTCTTTATTCAGCAATCAATTTTTGAGCTCCTAGTATGTGCCTGGCATTGTCAGCCTATTCTTACTGCAGATAATTTTAACAGTTACCAGTTTTTCTTACTTGTAGGCAATTGAAAGCCTTTCATTTACCAGTTTGACAACCTGTTTAAAATCATTGGCCAATAGTATAGTAATGATCAGAGATAAATGTATGTTGATAAGTGGTACTTTTTGTATTTATTTGATTTATTTACTGATTTCTTTATTCCTAAGTAATCAAGGTTCTTGTTTATTCATTTGATTAATGCTATCAAATGACAAGACCTGTATATAACCGCTTTCTCTGGCTCAGTACTTTCTGACTCATGATTTTGCTTTTATATTATTGAACAAGGTATTCACAGGGAGAAGTTTTTCTCATGTGTTAATGTCATTATTCAAAGTAATAATTAAATGCTATCTTCATATGACTTAAAAAAATTTTGATGATAGGTATCCTTCTGCAAAAAGCAGATTAAAAATATCTTTTTGAACTTTAAAAGTGAGAGTGTTAGGGTCTGTAGATATTATCTCAAACAAAGCAGTAAATGATAAAATAACAATATATAAATTCCAGAAAACATTCTCCTCTAGGTGTTAATTTTCTCATTAAACCTTAACCCTTTCAAGACCCAATTATTTTCTCCTTTGAATTTGTTGTTGATAACTATGTGTTTTCATTAATGGAAGGCATGCTGATTAAAGGACCAAGAATTTTTGTTATGAGTTACGGATTTTAATACCCATTATCTGGGATCACATATGTCCCAGTGGACCCTGCATGTGGTAAATCCTGGTGATATGAGTCAATGATAAAATCTTTTCTTTTTTTTTATTTCTTGAAAATTTGCAAAAAGTGAGGTAAAACACGAAGGCATCTGGCAATGACTGCACATACATTTTATTCTAGTCTCCTTCTTAGCCTTTTTACTATTTTTTATGAAACTTTTCAAAACATGGTACAATGCATTCTTCCTTACCACAAAAGCAGTACTAACAGCACAAATAAATAAAGCCAAGGGATTTTTTAATCTCAGGAAAATTACTACTACAGTGCATTCTTCATTACTGCAAAAGCAGTACTGACAGGCCAAGTAAATAAAACTAAAGGAATTTGAATCTCAGGAAAATTACCCCTACTATGTATTCTTCATTATAACAAAAGCAGTACTAACAGCTAAAAAGCAGAAACAGCTGCCCTGGAATACTGCAGAACTGCTCACAGTGGTGCATTCCACCTGCTACATGTGGAAGTAATGATCGGACCCCAAGACTGAATGCAGGATAAGAATAACTTATAGGAGTATCAGTCTCTTGAAAATACCGCTACAGTGCATTATTCCTTATTGCAAAGGCATTATTTAATATTCAGAAGCTAGAAAAGCAGGGAGCCAGTAACTCCTGGAAAGAATGAATGATGTCAAGGAGAAGATGACCACTATGACTGATGAAGATGGAATAGTTTATTCTAGTGATAAGTACATTCTCACGAGAACATAGTAACTGGGAAACATAGTGAGGTGGCTTATCTCTCAGAAATAAAGGCAGACCTGTCAGAAGTTTGGAAAATTCACACATCCAGGAGACATCACCTAAGACAGTGCTTAATCTACACAAAAATGAGGCTCTAACACAGGGTTCTTGAGTTTCACGCATTTCAAAAGGCTCTCACCTAGAGGCTGAGTGTGTTAAAACTGGGCTACCTCCTTCCCAAAAAACTCCAGAGGCATAAAGAGTGGGATACTGTGCATCCCATGGGTCACACTTAATGTTCTTCTGAATATTGAACTGAAGAAGAATTACCCTCCTTAAAGACATTTCATAATCCTTTAACCTAAACCACTGAATATTAAAAACTAAATGACAGGGAAGGAACACATGATTTAAAGGAATTTTTACAAATAAAAAGGGAATTATTAAAGGGACTCAAAACTAAACAAGTAATAGGTAGCAAACTAAATAGTCCCTAAAATAATAATTTGGAGTTACCTGCTTTGCTACCGGGGATATCCCATAAGCCAGTCTGGATGATTACAATATGTATATTTTGGCCTCAAAGCAAACCCAAGTCAAGTTAAATATGAATAAATAGGAAAAGGAAAAAATGAATTTCTAGAGCTAAACAAATGAGAAGTGCTCTGTGTTTATAATATTTCAGGGCAAGGGAGAGAATTTTTATACAGTGGAATGAGACTTGCCTGCTTGGTGTGCCAGACAGAGATGCTCTTAAATTCATTGATTCTAGGCTTCTGCAGGCAGTCTAGATCAGGTTTCAACAATCTGTGGCTTTTTATGCTCCGACTCGCTGTCTCTTTTGCTTTCAAAAGTTCCAGCTACCAAGACTCGTCTTCTGTCTCTGCCAACCTTCTATCCTGTATAAGCAGTGCTCCTGCTTATTCCCACTTCACACACCTCTGTGTTTCCAGGATGCATTGTATTAATTTCTTCCTGGCTGCCTGTAGCCATAGGAGTTTGAATTGTGGCACCCTACTCTTTGGAAAATGTTAACTTTCATATTTAAATTCTTGGTTTTCTCAATGGTCTCTTTTTGGCTCTGACGGCAATGAAGTATTAGTAAGTATTTAAAGATAAGTATGCTTAGTACACACTTACCTTTGAGGCCAGCAGTGAGGCCACCTTGAAAAGCACGGTAAGAGGATGTACTTCAAAACTAATACTATTGAGAAGTGACTACATGGCCCATCATTTTAGTTTTCTTTTCCCCAGCTCCACTTTCATAATTTGTTCAGTTTTGGGGACTGTGGAATACAGATGTAGGAAGTTATATTCAAGGCATTCATTTCTTATTTAGCAGACATTTGGTACCATCCGTGTTCAAGATGCTGTGCTAAATGGTATGAGAGACATAAAGATGTAGTTGATATAAAAATGTAGTCTGACCTGTAAAGTTGGTGAGTTGGCAGGGACTGATAAAGGAAGGAACATGCTTTTCATTCACTCTTGATGCTACTCACCCTACAGTATTCCTTGTTTGTACACGTTTTCCTCTCTCTCTTAAGGCCCTAGCTGAATTCCCAAAACTATGTTTGGTCTTTAAGATTCAAGAGCAACTGGTTTGAATCTTGTAGATAAAAGAAATTAGAGCGAGAATCAGAATTATAGCAAAGTTTATTAGTGGTTACCAGCCACAGAAGGGAGGAAGAAGAAAACACAGTTTAGGAAGCATTGCATTTCTGTTTATGATGCTGGAAAATTTGGCAGTGGATATTGGTGAGGGCTATATGTACAACACAATTGATGTGACCAGTATAACTAAATGGTACATGTGAAAAATGTTGAATTGGCAAATGTGTTTTGTATTTTTTATAACAATAAAAAAATTAAAATTAATTAAAAAAAAGTTGATGGAAAATAACGTAAAACTGCTTTATGTATACATTTGAGGTTACAGTGTTATCAATTGTAGGTGATATGGAGTCTAGAGGAAAATTAGATCAGTACGTCTTTCAGTTTGTCATACTGTGGTGGCTGCATATTACTGTGATGCTGGAAGCTATCCCACCAGTATTTCAAATACCAGCAGGGTCATCCATGGTGAACAGGTTTCATCCGAGCTTCCAGACTAAGACAGGCTAAGAAGTGAAAACCTTATGAATACTGGCAGAACAATTGTCTGATATAGTGCCGGAAGATGAGCCCCTCAGGGTAGAAGGAACCCAAAATATGACTGGGGAAGAGCTGCCTTCTCAAAGTAGAGTTGACCTTAATGATGGGGCTTGGAGTCAAGCTTCTGGGACCTTCATTTGCTGATGTGACACAACTCAAAATGAGAAGAAACAGATGCAGACATCCATTAATCATCGGAGTGTGGAATGTACGGAGTATGAATCTAGGAAAATTGGAAATCATAAAAAATGAAATGGAATGCATAAAAATTGATACCCTAGGCATTAGTGAGCTGAAATGGACTGGTATTGGCCATTCTGAATCGGACAACCATATGGTCCACTATACAGGGAATGACAAATTGAAGACAAATGATATCACATTCATCGTCAAAAAGGACATTTCAAGATCTATCCTGAAGTACAATACTGTCAGTCATAGGATAATATCCACACACCTACAAGGAAGACCAGTTAATACGACTGTGATTCAAATTTTCACACCAATCATTAATGCCGAAAATGAAGAAATTAAAGATTTTTACCAACTTCTGCAGTCTGAAATTGATCAAACGTGCAATCAAGATGCATTGATAATTGCTAGTGATTGGAATTTGGAAGTTGGAAACAAAGAAGGATT